TCAAAGAGCAGCATAGTGTAAGTGGAACATATTGAAAACATGAATTTGAAGTACAGCATTACGTAAGCATCTTAATAACAATCATCTAAACTTGTTCCATTCGCTTATTGAGAGAAATAGATACGTCACCGGAAGTTTCTTCTTATTGGTCAGTCATTACATGAATCCCCCAAAATAATTCCCTCCCATTGATTTTGTACGCGGGAGAGAACTATTTGGAGCAAAATGATTGAATACAATGATCTCTCTCAAAACGCTTCTGCTTCTCGCTCTCTCTCTCTTTCTTTCTGTACCTATGTGTATCGGATCAGATCCATCTTAGTACAACATGGCTCTACAATGCCCTCTCTCTCTATCTCTCTTTCCCTCTGATTGTCGATTGCTTTTATCTATAGATTTTTCCTTACTTTCGTTTAAGTTTTGTGGAATGTTCGACACATGATCCTCATTACTTCGAGGTAATTTTCTTCACCCGCCGAATTAAATTCAATAAACGTTTATTTCCTGCACAAGATAAAAAAATGATTTACATATCATGAAGTACATTTACAGACATAGACCGAAAACTGAAGGCCTACCAGATTCTTACCCCATACCCCCAAATCCAACTCCAAACCTAACCCCGTCACTTTTGACGAAATAAAGCCCGGAGCCATAGAATAGCCGGAATAAATTGTAGGTATTAAACCATATAGGAAGATAAATTGGCTAATCAACGGCATTAATGCATTAATTGCGGTCGACCAGTTCAGGATGGCAAGGACAAAAATAAGTATTATTTTATTTTTAACAATCCTAAATTACCATATTCTTTGCTTGACTTGTAAGCATGGAAATACTTCTGTAGAAACCCCTCCCTACCCAACACTTGACTACTCTCTTCTAGTTCTACTGGAATACACAATGATGTGGGTTCCAACGTATCATGATAAACATTAAACTACGAGGTCAAATACTGGTGAGGATAAGTCAAAAATAATAATTCTGATTTGAGCAGAACACGACTACAATTTGGCATTTTTATCAATCCCCAAATCGTTGATACAAATGATTAATGTGACCTTTAGTCAGTATGAATACCTTACACATCAGGCTAGTAATAATATGCTTGTCTGGATCTGATCATCAATCGTGCTCATACTTGTCACTTCTCACTACTCAGACACATCTTCGACACATTTTAGAAACCGATGAACACGTCCCGCTGAAAAATTGACACCTGCACGGGATTTGTTCTACCCGAGACCCTGATTTGATCTAGACTTGAGTCTTATCCCTTCATCAACTGTAATTGTTTAGAGATAAACAGTACACGTATATCAAAATAACATAATTTGGGAAAGACAATGTATGCAAGATAATAATGAATCAACTTACCTATGTGATAATCAGAGGATCAAGCATACAATGATGTCGTAATAATAATAGATAGCGAGATGTAAACAACCGTCTGCTCAATTGACACGTCATCGTCAAATACCCTGCCTGGATGGCTCTACACAGCGCCAGTGAGAGGTGGGAATCCCCGTTTTAGATGATGGGTACATGTACGAACAAGAGAGGGCGCTTCTCCTCACACGAATAAATATCAGTCGCCTTTGTAGGCCTATGTTTGCGTTTTTAATGTGAAAGGAGCCTATTGAAAACAACATTCGTTCTGATCAGGATGTTCTATCCTACAAATGAAAATAATCAAATGAGATAAATCAATTAAATAAATTGAAATAAAGTTAGGCATAAATGGTTCTGTATTCTGATATGCATTACATATGCTTTTAAAACGTTTGAAATAAATAGACTTTCAGCTTTAGGCCAAAAAGGAACAATGTTTAGTGTTTCGTGCCCTACCTTTATTTTTTTCTCGGCCTGTCCCGATTTTTTAAAAACATTTGTGATGTTTGTTCTGACAGTTTTTTTTAAACTTTATTTATTTCGTTTTGGTCATAGATTTATTTGTAAATTTTATTGAATGAACTAATTTGGTTATATTTAAAAGAGACAGTGAACCACTTGATTGACCCAAAACAACTCTCATTGAGAGTCTGCTGTGTCAGCACATTAAAGGGAGTGTAGACTGACGAGACTACGTGTCTTTCCCTCGGCCTGACTCGGGACCAATCGAATACGACTACGGACGAGGCGACCGCATCAATCACGTGCGTACAACATACGCGAAACCCAAGCGTGAGGAGAACTTCGGTCTGTTTCGCGGACGTTGACCATCTATTCGTTTACGTGCAGTTGTCCAAAAGAAGACGTAGATGGCGTTAACCAGTATTTGCAAAGCTACACGGCCTTTAAATGATTACGGTTCACATCTTGCAATTTAACGGGCTTATAGGCATACTTCAAAAAGAAAAGGAATAAAAATATACACACTATATATCAATTTATCAATTTCAATCTTCATATATTTGTTGTACACACCTGGATCGCCTAGGCTTTTCGTTCATGTTACCGCAGTGCAGATAACCGTGGAGTAGGGCAGGTGCGATGCGTCTTAAACTACTGAATAATCGCGGTACCGCGCCACAACAAGCGGGCCGCTGACAACCGCATCAAAGTCCCTCTCACAGATGTCTCGCACATGCAGTAGGCCTACAGTCAGATCAAGCCATGGTATTAGACGCTGTCGAATATATAACGTATTAAAGAAACAAACTTGTTTGAATAACTGATATTAGAAGCGGATTGATAGTATAGTAGTGGCAAATCAAATTGAAATAAACTGGAGAAAAATACTTACAGGACTATTTGACATATATAGAACACAAATCTAGCTGAGAAAAATCGAATTTGTCACCATGATATTGTACACACAACCCCAAGTACATGTATTCACAGAGATTTTAAGCATCGACAGAAGCTGCTTTCATTTTAGAATGATCGCCCAAACTCCAGAAATGCATTGATGGAGATGCTTCATAAATAGGTCTTGTTTTCATACCTGAGACTGAGACCTGAGCTTCCACCTGTCTTTTTAATGGAACGCGCCGTTGGTGCATAGATTGCATAACATTCCTGAAGACGAACGTACACATTAGATTTTATTTATACGCCATTTTCGTAATGTAATCAAACTTAATGCACAAATCTTTGTTACGTGCTTCGCGTTACAAATTATTTCATTCACCTGTTACGAATAATTCTAATTCAATAGTCAGAATGCATGCAAATGAGAAGGGAAAGAAGAAAAAGAAGGAGAAGGAACAGGAGAAGGAGAAGAAAAAGAAGAAGAAGAAGATGAAGCAGATTGAAGAAGAAGAAGAAGATGAAGAAGAAAGAACAGAAAAAGTAGAAGTAGAAGAATAAAGAGAGATTTATATATTAAATCGACAGTATTACAGCATTCTAGATTCTAGAACAAGGATGGACGCCCCTCCCCCCATTTCACTTTTTTTGTGTGAATGCAGCAGTTTAGGTGATTATCTGAAGTCCTTTTATAAACACACTCAATTATGAGGAACAGTGACAACTATTTTTAATTGCGATAAGTTCGAGAATGAGATTAATAATATTTGTTTGTCAGTCAAATTACTTCGAAGGACGAATTATGCCAAATATGTGATCTATATCCGGTACCAGTACGGATTACCGGATACAATGGAAATATCGTCATGAAACCTTATCGTCAGTAAGAACTAATCAATATAAGCTATGCGAGGTTAAACCCCGAACAAGAACGAAAATGACGTGTATTAAAGTAAACTGTTTATCCATCCAATACGTACTACTTTTAAAACGCGTTCATTTTTATTGGTGGTGGTGGTAATCCTTGAATGATCGAGAGAGAGAGGGAGCTAGAGAGAGAGAGAGAGAGAGAGAGAGAGAGATACAGAGAGAGAGAAAGGTGGTTTAAGGAGAGAGAAATAGATATACACAAGTTAGCGATTTATGGTAAATGATAACCGTAAATAACGTGAGGGAAAGGAAGTTATTTATTGAACAGATCTGGCGGGGGTAATCAAAATAATAGATATAGAGAGATATATAAAGGACTACGAACCCGTTTATTTATCTACGTCAGACATCGCTCGGATCATGACCCCGATCTTTTTTCGGTCGCTGATTTTCAACCGGAACTAAACTAAGGCAAACAAAATAACGAGAACAAAAACTAAGGTATTGCACAAAGTATACTGCGTTTAGTTAATTCTCTTCAACCTTACATTTGTCAACTGACGTTGTATCATAATAGTCCATGCAAGGAGCCTGTATTGTGTTTTTTGCCCCGTAAAATAGATTTTTTTTCTTTTCAAAAGCCCATTGAAGGGGGGGGGGGGAAATGCAAGGTAATATTGACTGAGAGCATTTCACGTTATTTCCTATCTAGATTATAGTCACTCCCCTTTTCCTGTCCCTCCCATATCCCTGTCTTTAATCTCTCTCTAATTACTCTCTTCTCTCTCCACCTCTCTTTCTGTCTTTCTATCTCTTTCACTCCTTCTTTCTCTCTCTCTGTCTCTTTGTCTTTCTCTCTTTTCCCGCCTCACCCCTTCCCTTTTCTCTCCGTCTCTCTCTCTCTCTCTCTTTCTCTCTCTATCTCCATTCCCCTCCCACCTCCGTTTCCTTCCCTGTCTTGTTTTAGGCAATGCGAATGGGGGCGTTAGCTTTACTGCCCACCCCAAGTGCTACGCCAATGAACGTCATACCCAAATTAATCGCCTTTTAGCCACAATGAAATCCCAGCCCGTTTGCCCTTGGAATGCGTTGACATTTCGTACGTGCTAATTACATATTTCATTGATCTCGTTATTTCTCGATTTTGTTTGTCCTCACCCGCCCCCTTCCCCATCATCCTCACCCTCACCCCTCCCCCCAACAAAAAACGGTAAAGTTAGTATAAGTTTTACAGCTCGTCCAATCCTGTTCATAAATTCTTCTGTATTTTCGCATAATGCAGTCGTGTTCTAGGATGCTGGTCCGATATAGAGTGCATTGCAATTGTTTACTCTAAACACGAATTCAAAGAAAAATCTAAACGCTAATGACGATGCCAAATCGTGGTCACTAGTGTGTATCAACCTTGATATTGTGGTTGTGGTAGTGAAGTCAGATCATATTCCTACCTGCAACTATCAATCCGAACAGGATTTAGCCTGCTGACAGCAGGCGAGGCAGGACCTTCACGAGTATATATCCAGACAATACTATTATTATCATATATTATATCTGTGTTTTTGATAGCGGATCGAAAATATACACAGCATTTTGATAATCGGGGAAAGAGAAATCAAAACACAGTGTTCCGTCTGATTGTTATTATGGTAAGTGTGACATTTTTCTCATCCACCTGTAATAATGTATACAAAACTGGAGTCTCTTTTATTTCAGGTTGCCTTGTTTATCATGGACTATAGTTAATGGAATGTATGATGGTCTTTATATCACTTTCGCGATGCTAAAGTAGTAACCTTACAAAACAGCCTTGCAAATTGAATGCAGATACATGTATATATATAGAGAGAGAAAATATCATTACTTAAAACAGAATTAGATTGTAGTTACGTGTGTGTATGGTGGTCTCCAGATCCGACTTCGTAATTTTGATGGTCTCCAGTTCCTTAATGATATTCGCGAAGCAAATTGGTTTACTCCCAAATCTTGTACTAGCTTGTGAAAATACAGATATATACAATCCATAACAATATGATACTGATGTACAGCTGGTTAGTGCTTTAACATTTTGTTATTTCCCGTTATTGAATTTCAAGCCTGCATACTATGAAGTTCTAATAATCTTATATTTCCTATACGTTACATGTATATTATCATACTTATTATCCAAACACACATTTTGATGTTATAATATTTTTTAGCAAATAATAGGAGACTGAACTTTTACTCTACATGAGCATTCAATATTCAGTAAAACTACATACGTCATATCCGAACCTTTCTGAAAATATCAAAATTAAAGTGTTTTTGTTAATCATTGAAACACTGTTTTGACGAGGACGGTCTGAGTCCTTCTTCTCGTATGTACTCCAGTATTATCCTGCCCTAAATACAGTACTGTGTCACCATGGACGTACTAGGTCCATAGGAATACTATGCTGTACAAATACATGTGGAACATGTATCAAGGTTCAAATTGTATGCAACGTTGAATTCGCACTGTACGTATAGCTGTCGTGCGTTCGAATTGAATTTATAAAAAAAGAATCAAATTGAATTGAATTCGACTGTGTATGATAATTGTGCTTTCATGATAGCATTGTACAGACACACAATCTGCGTCTCTTCCAAAGGTACCTCCTAGATTGTATAGAATGAATACAAACGGCTGGAATGTAGGCCGAAAGAAAAAAATACTGTCTGAAAAAATATTTAAACTAAAATCAAATATAATTCATTGCCTACTGTAAAAACAATACATGTCGTGCATTAAATCAATGACACTTGTTGCACTGTAGATGAGAGTAACCGGATCGTATAGAAAGCACGAACAACACCTTAACAGATCTATGCAAAAATTAAAAGCGAGAAAGCGTAAAATAATCCATACACAAAATAACACTAAGGAGGGAATTAAAGGAAGATAAAAGGAGGAAACATTAAACAATTAAATAGTTTATGTCAGGACTCATGGTTCCAACGGCTGCAATGTCTTCAATCGTTTAAAATTTGTTTTGTCTGCCTTTGTATTTTTATGTTTTCATGAGATGTTGTTCCAAAGAATTGAGGAATAATAAATTACTTTTGGGTAATGTAGACGTAGGCAGTCATCTTTTCGAACATGCCACTGATAGCTATCATTCTCGCTGTCAAGGGTCAAATGTCAAAGGTTAAAGCGTAAAGTAAAGGCACGGCTCGATGAGGGGGAAATGCCCCCTCAGACTTTTGAAAATAAGCGCCACTCCAGTCCCCCCCCCCCCCACACTCACACACATGGTTTGCTGTTATATCTTGCTAAAATATTCCTATTCTGAGGGTGGGGGAGGGGCAGACTCCTTGTTTTCCTATTCAGCTATGATTGTTGATGAACTCTTTTTAAAGTAAATAGTATTTTTAATTTGCTCTACATGTACTTTTCAAAAGTAGCAATGACTGGAAAGTAACGCTGAAAATCATTGTAAGTGTAAATCAACCGATATGCACTTGTAACAGATCACGGGAGAAGCCCAATCACTTCATTCAGTTTAAAGACTATGCGGAGAAGGAAACAAAGCAACTTCGTTATGATAATGATAATAATATCTTAAATTTTAAGCTTGCATCCTAAGCTCCATACTTTCATCATCACATGAAACAAAGTTGGAGAGTTTCGGTAAGAAGGTAAACTATTTTGTAAAATAAATTTCCTTGAAGCATTTTATCATATAGTGTTTTTCTAAGAAAGTGAAAATAATGATCATTATTATACTCACTCCATATAATTTATAATTTCCTTTGTAATACCCCTTTTCTGTAAGGAACTTGAATGGCAACTTAAGATTGTTATCTTGTCACTTTCCAATCTTTTTTCCACAGGACGATCGATTTGACTATTCAAATTACAGCCTATCGTCTCCTTTGAGTGACATAAAACCTTATTATGACGTCATCGTAATCGGCTCTGGTTATGGCGGGTCCATCGCTGCTAGCCGCTGCTCCCGAGCGGGGAAGAAGGTGTGCCTGTTCGAAAAGGGAAGAGAATGGTGGCCGGGCGATTTCGAAGAGGACGTGGGAGCAGCGAAAGATATGCAGATGACTTATAACAGTTCGGATGGCGAATGCGTTCAAATAGGTAATCTACATGTATATAAATTAATTTCTTCTTTCATATGAATATATAACTTTAAACTACACCACCCCCTCCCTCCCTCCCTTTAACAAAGATGTACTTTTATTTTATTTTATTTTTATTTTTTTTATTTATTTATTCTCCACTCATGGGATGGATTGCCCTTGTCAGCTATAAGCTGTTTTTCAAAGGGGTCAAAGAATGTACGGGGCAGGGGCAAGAGGTTGGGTTGGGGTTGGGGTTTGTAACTCGACTACCCCCTCCCCCTACTCGCCTCCGAGGATTCTGTAACCGTCTCTATTATGACAATCATCGGCTCAAATTCGGGAAGGGAGTTTTTCCATTTGTAATCCATTTGCTTCTTATTAAATCCCTTGGCTTATAATACAAATAGGCATATGCTAATAAAGCATTGTTGTGATCATTTTTAATCGTTAAAAAAAATATATATATATCATCAATCAATAGTTGCATTTTCCTATCTTTATCAACATCTTCTTAAATGAGTTGATATTCAGGGCCGTAGCCAGAGTTTGATTTTTTTTTTTTTTTTTTTTTTTTTTTGGGGGGGGGGGGGGGGGGGGGGCACATACATGTAATTGATCGACGTCCTGGGGATGGGTCTAAAAAAGTTCAACCGGCGATCTTCTTTTTTGGGGGGGGGGGGGCACGTGTCACCCCCCCCCCCCCCCCCCCCCCCCGTGGCTACGTGCCTGTTGATATTACGTCTTTGGACCCTTTCTCCACTTAAGCCTATCTCTTTCCCTTTTAATCGTTCCTCAGTACCCAGTATATTTTGAACTCCCGTAAGTGATGTTTTACTGGCATCTACTAACACAATGTTATTGTGTTAGTGCACATCACATTTTCACGTGGCAGCCTAAGGGGGGGGGGCTAAACCCCCTAACCCCCCTCTGTAGATCCGCCCCTGTGTATTTATATTGTTAAAGCTTTCAAAATCGTGCTATCCTGCTAAAAGTCACGCGTTACTTGTATCTTCTGTTCAAAGAATATATCTCTATAGCAAAATTAGCTACAGAAATGGGAAAATCTCCATGATGATCTCAGTTTAGAGCAAATAAACAGAACAAACATGAAATATTCAACTTTCTTGATGACGTAGAATTGTTCTCCTTCTTTTTAAAGGCAAACCTACAAATCTTTATGATATCGTTGTTGGTCCCGACGTCGCCGTGGTACAGGGGGTCGGGCTCGGCGGAACGTCGCTCATCAACGCCAACGTTTGCCTTGAAGCCGATCCAAGAGTTTTTGAAGACAAAGTAAGGACTAAATATGTATTTGTCTTCATATCTAATCATGGTTTTTTATCTTTTTGTCACGATTTGATGATTTCAATTTGGACAAGCACGAGATCATGACAATGCACACTACACAGTATAGTCTACAATTACAATACATGTCAACTCTTTGAGTAATATTAAAAGTGTTACTTGATTACATTATTAGCATACTTATTCGTACATTCAAAGTGATAATACTCAAAATTAATTCATGCATTCATTTATTCATTCACAGCATTCTTACATTGATTTGTTTTTGTATGGTTAATCACATAACGTGTATATGCATGATGCAGATGCGATAACATTCTGACATGGAGTAATATAATTGTATGGCATTAAACAAAATCACAATACATCATTTTACAATAAGGCATGACACGTGAGGGAGGGGGGGGGGGGGTCATCACCAGTAGCCTACTATTAGTTCATACATATTTGAAATTCAAGGATTTCCAAAGAAGATGAATCATATTTTTCGTAAAATGGTTAACATGGTTAACAGCATTCTCCCACACAAGACTTCAGAGAATGACAAAAATGCAAAATTAGTTTCGCCCTGAACCAAACCTAAAACAATTAACCCAACCTTCTATTCAAGTGCGTCATGTATAACCACTGCATTCTAGACCACTATTAGACCATGACACTCCCATTCAAACCAGGAAAGGTATGCCAGGAAGTTGTTCGGAGTACAGTACGCTATTACCCTGGCAAGGGCCTTCAAAATAAATAATTGTTTTGAGGTAATTGCTAACTCGAAAAAATACATTTGTTTACTCTGTTCAGGATATTGTTTACTCGAGACGACATTATATACAAATATTGAATCTAATATATATTTGCACGGCCTTATTTTTCGATGTAACGCGTGTAATGTATTAAGTTATACAGTTTCGATTTTCAATGGACCGACTTCCCCTTTGACAATACCCCCTGGCACAATCATTACCTTCTAGGAGAATGACCCCCCCCCCCGGAAAATTATTAACCCCTTGCATAATTACCGTAGCATAATTATTAACTCCTAGTACAATACCCCTCAGAGCGATTCCATCAGGACATCTATCATATCCTAGGACAAATATCCTTTGGACAATAACCCCTTAGGACAATATCACCCCGGACAATTATTACTTCCTACGACAATTAAGCCTTAACACATTTACCTATAGCAAAATTAACCCCAAAGACAAGGCTCTTTGAAAAGTCCCCCACCCTCCTAGGACAATCACCCCCAGGACAAGTACCCACTAAGACAAGTACCCTCCTTGACAATAACCCCTAAGACAATAACCCTCTGACAATTACGCTCTAAGGGACTATTATCCATAGCAGTCAATAATGGCCTGGTAATCTGTGCAATCGTCTCGGGCTGTTACGAATATACATGTAAGATGGTGTGGATTTTTAGGCTACATTGATATTCATGATGATTGAATTAAAAATGACTAATCAGGGTATTATATATATAATAATTTAACTCAAAAATATATCTTGTTTGTCTCAGGCTTGGCCAAAGGCTTTACGGGACGACATCGAGACCCTAAACTCAGTTGATCGCAAGCACTTCATGGCGATGATGAATCCTCAAGAATACCCCGAAGCTTATCCGTCGCTTCCCAAGCTCGATGCCATGAAGGAGGTCGCTCACGGCTTCGTCACCGACATCGAGGATCTGAAAGTGAACGATGTCTTCTATAAGTGAGTGCTAATCAAAAGTTCCTGCAAAGTATAGATTTTAAAACACTTCTATTACGATAGACCTGAAGTTCACATTGTGATAGCTCTTAAGATCGTGAAGGGAATCAACATAGGCTATGGGTGCAATTTCTTGAGCAGGTTGACGTTTCTTGCATGGATGTCAACTTTCAAGTAAAGGTATCTGATAGATAATGACACACATTTTTTAATAGCTAATTCCAGAAAATATTCTACATGAGATACACAGAATACAAATTCATCACCTTCTAGCGATAGTACGAGGTGACGTTTTCCTAAATATTAGTAATTGTATTCAGATTTTCAAGGGGAGGGGGTTAGAGCCTCCTCTCCCCCGTACTACTGTGCACTGCACGTAATTAACAGAATAGACAGCTGGGATAGACAAACCTAGGGATTGGGATGGTTGAATACTCTCAAAAATGAATAGACGTTCACTTTATTAAACCAACAAAAATATCATTTCAAACTCAAGCAATTAAATATCAGTTGTTTTAATAGTCCTTTGTTATATTGCCTCAAACACCAATTTTTCGACTTTCATATTGCATCCAGTCTGTTTGGAGCCAGAGGAGGGTTAACTCACTTACTTTAAGTTAACGCCCTTCTAGCTCTTTACAGACGTGCATAAAGTGCTCATGGCCACCATGGCAGGCGTATCCACTAAGACAACCTGATACACAAACGATGTTCCCCTTTCTGTTTTACGTTTAGGACACCTCTCTACGTCAACTTCAAGACAACGAAGAGCAACGTCGCTGGTATCCCACAACCAGCCTGCAACAACTGCGGCAACTGTGTTGGTGGCTGCAATACGGGAGCCAAGAATACTCTCAACATGAACTTTCTTCCTGATGCCCATGCTCACGGTGCTAGAATTTTCACGGAGGTAAACTGAAGCTTTAAATAACAATTGAAAAACAGTGATTGAACCCGACTCAAAGCCAATATTATGTCATTATATGAAACCAGCGTTTAAGATGAAGGGGCGTGGCGGGAGAAGGGGGGTGTGCGTGCAGGAAACCCCAACGGTGATTTATATTTTGGGTTTGGTACATGCCTGGTGACTTTGAATACTTTCTAATATACAGGGCGTATCATAATAAAGGATATTGAAGTTTAATGACGATTTATATGAAAACTACTGATTTCATAATCAAGCATTTTATGTCTGTTGTAAAGGACAGAATGTCCTCTTTTTAATAACACCCCAATCATACTTCTACTGTCACAGTTGACTGAATAACAAAGCATTGCTGTCCACCATGTGAAAGGTGCACCGTGACAAGTTAGCATTCACAGATAAATTCTAAAGATTAGTGCTTGTGTCAGCCCAGACATATTGAAATGCTGAACAATGAGTGGATTATGTGTCTAAGAAGGAAATGTTATCAAACTTGGCACAGTGCACCTTTCACATGGTGGACAGCAATGCTTTGTTATTCAGTCAACTGTGACAGTAGTAGTATGATCGGGGTGTCATTAAAAAGAGGACATTCTGTCCTTTACAACAGACATAAAATGCTTGATTATGAAATCAGTAGTTTTCATATAAATCGTCATTAAACTTCAATATCCTTTATTATGATACGCCCTGTACATTAAATTAATACCTCACTCACATGCACTGCCACACCAACTCCACACCGACCCCAGATTGATTAGTGACTTGTGTCGATGAAGTAATTGTTTTCTCGGCCTGTTGTCAGTTTTGTGGTGTGGTGGTCTCGTTGGTGTGGCTAGAGTAAAAGGATAAGATTAGATAAAACAAACGTCATAGTCATACACACGGTCGTAATAGGGAGAGGAGGGGGCGGAAATAGAAGTGTGAGATTAACGGTGGAGGAGACAGAGGCAGAGGGAGCTAGGCAAAATTTGTAACTATGATTGAGAATAGAATTTGATGAAAAGCTTACGAACTGATTCATAGATTATGAAGACTAATGGAATGAAATCCAATTTTTATCCTGACCCCATACAGATCCAAGTAAATGCTGTGATGCGACATGATGAAGGAGGTAATTGGGTGGTCTTTTACCAGAGTCTTGATCAGAAGAAATTTGAGAAGAAGGAGCGCATCGTCAAGGCCCATACAGTCATCTTCGGCGCTGGATCACTTGGATCCACCAGGATCCTTCTTAACTCCGCGTCTCGAGGTCTCTCCCTCTCAAACCAAGTCGGCCAACGCTTCACAACCAATGGTGATCACCTGACATTTTCATACAACGGGAAAAAAAAGATTCGACCTGTTGGCATCAAGTTGGAAGACCTCAAGTCACCGACCCAAGGTCCAGGACCTTGTATAACCAGCATCCTCGATGTGCGCAGGAAACCAAATGCATCGCTCGACGACGGGTACCTCCTGGAAGATGGCACCCCGCCCTCTTCGATGGATCATATCTTCAAGCTCCTGCTCAAGCTTAACAACGGTATAGACACAACCCCAAACGAGAACGAAATTGCAGAGTTCATCCGCTCCATCACTGGGAAAGCATATGAGAACACGCTTACATTCCTGTCGATGAGCCACGACTCGGCCAATGGTCGTATCGTTCAGGATCAGGCTTCCGGAAACGTCTGGGTTGACTACCCGGGTGTCGGAGATGAAGATAATTTTCAGGCTATCTACGAGGCAGCGAGGAAAGCCGCGACAACATTAGAAGGCGAGCTGATGGCAAACCCATTCTGGAATGGCGTGATTCCTCAATTGAAGAACAAAAAGGGTATCGTCACTGTTCATCCACTGGGAGGCTGCGGCATGGGCGAGTCCGGGAAAACTGGCAAGTTTATTTGATTTGAGAAGCTTTTAAATTACGATGCGAGTATCTATTTGATTTTGTATCCAGGGCTAACGCATACACATACACAAATGGCAAGGGCCCAGATTTCGATATTTTTTGTTGTGTGTGTGTGTGGAGGGGGGGGGGGGTAGTCTGCTTGCATGCATGGTGCATGAGCCTCCTATCAAAGTTGTAACATTTTGGGGTCCGGATTTGTTCCGGTCACCTATTAATTTTGAGCCCATGTTATCTTCAGTTCTATCACACCTGTACTTTAAACTTTTACTTTTAACCCTTAAACGACGAAAAGAAAATATATCCACTTAAAAAAGCGGGAAGAAAATATAATTGTAAAATATTTGCGGTGGGGGGGGGGGGGGGGTTGTGTTGTCGAATTGTGTGATCAAAATTGAATGACTTTATGTACGGTGTGCTAAACACCTGAAAAACATGAACTCTGATATTTCCCTCTTGATTCGAATGAGTCACATCCCTCTAAAAATAATTTCCCCCTTATAATTTGCAGGTGTTGTTGACCACACTGGAGCAGTTTTCAGAGGAGAGGGCGTGGGTGTCTACCCCAATCTCCTGGTAGTTGATGGTGCAGTCATGCCCAGAAGCGTGGGTGTCAACCCCACCCTTACCATTGGGACCATTGCAGAGAGGTGCGTTCGGCTCCTGGCTGACAGGAATGGATGGACAATCAATTACGAAAGCACCAAGGAAATAGGTGAGAATTGAACGATTTTTTAAAATTATAATTCACTTAGATGTGATCAAAATGGTATAAGGAACTATGTTAGGGACTAAACAGTCCATTAAGCCACAATTATAAAACATACGAACACTTCTAGGTCATTTATTGTCGAGCGAAAAATATGTATTTGAGTGAGTGCAAACTAGAAGAAGAATGTTACGTATTTTCTTGGCCTAAATTATAAAATGAGGATTACCTGTTCAATTACTGCATCATACACAAATTAAGGGCACAATTAATCATACACGCATATCGATAATGCCTATCATACAGAAAGGTAATAGCTTTAGTTTGTGGCTTTGGAAGGATATGGATACAAAGACTGCTTTACTAACAGAAAGATGTATCAACAATAAATCACATTATTGATTGCATATCTTGCATAAACTGACAAATGCATATGTTTTGTTAAAGATTGCTTTACAATAGTCACATTGGTCAAATGGGATGCATCCAACCATACAAATATTTCAAAATTGATCTTTATTTCAGAATCATCTGTTAAGGATAAGAATAAACCTGGACTGCGCTTCACCGAACGTATGGCCGGTCATCTGACCGTAGACGGCGTAGATCATCCATGTGAGTTCGTCCTCACTATTGTAAGTAATGACGTTGAGCATATGCTCATTGTGGACAACGAGCACCGGGCTGCACTTCATGGTACGGTGTCTTGCAAGGGATTGTCCGAGTATCCAATGACCGTTTCCAATGGCAGGTTCCGTCTTTTCAGAGAGAGCGACGAGAGTCCTGACATCAGGGAAATGGTCTACGAGATGGACCTCCACGACCATGAGAAGACTTACCACTTCAGAGGCATCAAGATTGTCGATAAGAACTGCTTCTTAGAGATTGGCGTTGGAGATACCACGACACTCGCGGTCACTGTTCGCAAACCTGATGATGAGGGTGAGCATGTTGGCACGGGGACTCTGAAAATTAAGCTCACTGATTTCTTGCAACAGCTTACGACTTTGGAGGTGACACAGACAGACAGCCATCTAGAGAAGGCAAAGTGGAAGATCAGGTTCGGACGTTTCTTCAGCGGCGTTCTGTTGGACATATACGGCACCTTTAATCCATCTGATTTAGGCGTTCCATTCCACCACAAGAATGAACCGAGGGAGCAACGGCAACTCAATCTTGGCGGGACAATTCCAGAAGTCCACAGGATCCAAGCCACCGATGGTGTCCAACTTCCCCTGGTTCGATTCCAGGGAGGATCTAAAGGTCCGCTTCTACTTCTTCACGGACTGGGTGTGTCGAGTCGGATCTTCACCCTAGATACCGTAGATACCAATATGGTTGAATTCCTTGTTGCCAAGGAGTTTGATGTTTGGGTTGTTGATATGCGTTACTCGGTCATGCTACCTTTACACAAAGAGCCAGGGTACATCGGTGATGCAGCGGAGAAGGACCTTCCACCAGTTGTAGACTACATCCTAGAGAAGACAGGACACCTGGATCTCGAGCTACTAGCACATTGTGCTGGAGGCGTGACAGCACATGCCTCTCTACTTGGCGGTCACCTTCAAGGCAAGATCCGATGCCTCGTGTCATCACAGGCAGGTTTCAGTCTGACCGTTGGTGCTATAAACTGTGCAAAGTCGCGAGCACGTCTTCCAACTGTCCTATACGGCCTTGGTGTACAGGGCATAACTGCCTACCCGGATAACCCCAGTGCATGGAACCAGCGCATTGTCGACTTCTTCGTCGAAAAGGTAGCGACTTTGACAACCAACATAAGGGAACACTGTGACAGTGACGTCTGTCATCGCGTAACCTTCACATACAGTCTACTATGGTCTCACAGAAATGTCAACGAGCTCACACACGACACGCTACAAGAATGGAACGGCTTCGTGCATGCTACCCGACTCAAGCACTATTCGTTGAGTATGCGCAAGGGACGACTCGTGGACAAGGACGGACATGACAAGTACCTACCCGACTTCAACTCAAAGCACAGACTAGACTCCGAAAGGTATCTGGCGGCCATAAAGCACCTGGACCTCCCGATTCTTTACTTCAGTGGTGCCAAGAATGTCTGCTGGGATCCAGAGACCACTCTGGACAGTTTTAAACGGTGTCAGGAAGTCAACCCAAATCAGCATTATGAACGATTTGAAGTTGAGAACTACATGCATTTGGATTGCATCATGGGATCCGTGGCTGCTCAAGATGTTTTCCCAAGGTTCATGCCCTTCCTTGAGCAGTATGCTCACCCCAAGTAGACGATGGTGAGTGGCAAAGGTCAACATGAAGCAAACTTGGTAGCACTTATCTGGCTAAAGCATTTTCACAGTGGCGTAACTGCAGGGGGTAGAAATGGCACAGATGTGTCCCCAATCGAATGATGCAAAAGTGAAAAGAAAGAAAAAGAAAAAAAAAAGATAGAAAGGGAAAGGAAATTAGTTGGAGGATGAGAAAAAAAGGACGCCTGGACCTCTTCTCGCACCCTCATCTAATCAGTGTCCTGTAAATAATTGTATTCATTTGCTGAGTAATAAAGACCGGTGCCCCCTCCTTCCAGTGCCCCTATCTATGGTTGAACTCAGGCTGCGCCACTGATCCCTTTCATAGTTTTATACAAAGCGACATGGCAAAGTTTCTTGGATAAAAGATCCTCTTTTTTCATTTACAGAGTGTATAGATATATATATATATTCTCTTCATTAAAGTGTAATATCAATCACATGTATCTAGATTAAAGGTACTCTACATCTTCGGCAAAAGCAATGTAACATAATGTCTACAAGGTATATATATATATATATATATGCAGATTTGTCTGAAATTCATGATTGGGAAACAAAATGCAATGTGAAACAAGAGCACATGGGTAGGGTAAAGCATTTGATGGTATATTTATTTAAAATACTAGGCTGAATTGTACGTTGCTGTCAGTACCTGATTTCTATGTTGTTGTTTTTTATGAAGTGGATGATAAAACATTGATTATTGAACAGTTCATGTAGTCCGTTTCCTTCCGTCACACAAACAAAACCGACATCAGACCGATCGACTCTTAGCAATTCGGTTTAGTAATGTTGAGTTCAGTCTGTTGTCGGTCTGCATGGTGTCGCCGGTCTTGTCGGTGTGACTTATACCTTGGTCACACTGCTAAACCGACCCGGTCACACTGCCAAACCGACGCCTTCCCAACTCCAAACCGAATGATTCTTAGCAATTGAAAGTATTAACACAATTATGTTTGATCGGTCTCTTGTCGGACTGCATTGTGTCGGCCTGGTCGGTGTGACTGAAACCTTGGTCACACTGCCAAACCGACCCGGTCACACTGCCAAACCGACCCCTTCCCAACTCCAAAACGACTGATTCTTAGTAATTGAAAGTAACACAGTATGTTTGATCGGTCTGTTGCATGGTGTCGCCGGTCTGGTCGGTGTGACTAATACCTTGGTCACACTGCCAAACCGAACCCTTCCCAACTCCAAGCCGACTGATTCTTAACCACTGAAAGGAATATAATATGTTTGATCGGTCTGTTGTGGTTCATTTCGTGACACCTTAAAAGTCAAGAAAAGACAGCTTATATAGCATGCTTTGTTTGAAAATCCAATGAATTGTATATTTGTTTAGTTAACTAGTTTTATACTTTACGTAAATTACAAGTTTTCAATCCATTAAACCTTTGCCGATTATTACTGTATTTCACATTGTTCGCTTATATTCATTTTTAATATTGCATTAATCTGTCATGATATAATTGATTAACACATGAACGTTATATGAATTTATGAGTGGAGAATGCAATGTATATATTAAGTTATTTTAAACGCAAACGAATCTGCTCAGCCGATACCACTTATCAACTCATACTCGTATAGCCTAAGAAATAATAACAACAACATAACTACATTTATCAATTTTTCTTGCTTACCAACCCCATTTGCTTCTACTTCAAATTTTCAAGTTCATGTCACCTTTCTTTTTCCCGTCTCTTCAATTATTGTACGTCCCCCTATCTCTCTCTCTCTCTCTCTCACTCTCTCTCTCTCTCTCTCTCTCTCTCTCTCTCTATATTTATATATCTCTCTCTCTTTCTCTCTTACTAAATATGAACACAGACATACCGCATGTATGTTTTGTTTTACTTTCACAATTATTACTTTCGTTGACCTAAACTATAACATATGTTACATACATGTACGTAAGTCTTAGAGCACACATCGCTTGTTTTAGCATACTTCTTCGTGTGTTTTTTAACGTTTAGGGGGGAACATGGTCCGTTATTTTAAAATTGTATTTGACATACGAATGTAGTATGTTGTTCTATGTTTACTGTTTAAGTGCATGTTATCATATATGAATGAAAACAATTAAATGAGATCAACATAAATCATATCTATTCATACGTAGGACGTGTTTCTTATTTTGTTTCTGTATTTGGTTTTTATCACCTTCAACTGTATACATATGTGTTTTTGAAGAGCGCCAGCCAGAGTCCCATATCAAAATGTTACTTATCTGTAAAAAAAAACACACAACATTGAATCCGCATTAGCATTCGTTTCTGTGGCATTAATTGTCCTAGTAAATGAATATAGAGATAAAGAGAGGGGGTCATAGATTATACTTGTACACCGTCAGATAGTTCTGGTTATCATTATGTGAGAAAAACCCTTCGGGGATGTAGAAGACAGATATTTAAATAACCCAAGAAAAAACCTAAAAATATAATATAAATGAGAGATATAGGAAGGGGAGGCAGAGAGAGATGGAGAGAGAGAGAGACAGAGAGAGAGAGAGAGAGAGAGAGAGAAAGAGAGTGGATCAGTGAGGCAGACATACCGAAAGAGATTGCAACAAACAGAGAGGGAGGGAGACGGTAAAAGAGATGAGAGAGAGATGGGGGAGTTCGGAGGGGGGGGGGGGGGCCAAAATAATCAACACCAATAATACCAGACATTAAACAAACTATACAAATATCCGAGCAAACAGCTCACTAATCGCCTTAATCAACAACCAACTGAGCATATTATCCCATTTAACTATCCTGTAAGTATATGAGAGACATGAAACCGTTTTAATCATACACTTTTCTATCTATATATCTATCAATCGTACAAGCATATATATATTTGATTTGATTTGATTGTGTGTCTATTTGTTATATAGATAAACATATTTACATTTAAAATCCTATAACTTTAGATGTATGATAAAGACATGGTATATATACCAAAAAGTGGTCGTCTTTATCATAAGCTTGAAGTGACGTTCTCTAACTATATGTATATACGGCCGTCTGGTTGCTTACTTACAAGCATTTGTGCTTTCTTAGCAGTCAGGTAAAATAACCACCAATAACCAATAATCAACCAATACGAGCATCTATCTATCTACATAATTAGATTAATTTATATAGCGCAGCTACAATGTAAATATACTCTACAACTGTGATGAAAAGAAAACTCCCAATAGTTCTACCCTACAAACACAATAACAAACTATTTAAAAGATATGCAAGTACGTCTTCAAAAGAACTTTGAAGACGTACATGTAGGTCTATTGGTAGGTTATTCCAAAGCTTTGGAGCGACGTAACTGAGAATTACTTTTGTTATTGTGTGAGGTAGCTTTAGAAACAGCTTGTCCCGTGTACTTCGCAAGTATACATATGGATGTGATTTTTAAGATAAAACTTTAGACAAATAATATTTATATTCATTGTATTAATTTGTTTGTTATTGTGATTTTGTGAGCCTACGTATTTTTGAAATATAATAAAATTTTAATTAAAACCAAAATAAATATCTCACAAATCAATCAATCCAATTGAATAAATCCACAACGCACCATTTCATCATTTACAAAACAACAGTTCAATGGCGAAATTGACTTTCATAACACTCGGTCAATCGAAACTGCTTCTCAATCTATTCACCACTATTCAATTAATTTAAATGGGAACAAAAACAAGTCAGTAATCATATAAACCAGGGTGTACCCATCAGTACCATAATGAGATAAATAATGACAGACATCACAACTCGAATACAGGATTTATTTTCTTTATTATTGTAATGATGATCAAAAATGGTATTGAATTAGAATTATCAATAACAAATTATTTACAATATTAACGCAGATGCACAAAATGCAAATGCTTTGGATACAAAAAAAACGTAAATTTGCAGCTGATTGTACATATGCAAGTACACAATAGTTATAATAATAGTAGAGCGAGAATATATTTGTAATATGATAATATAATAAATAACTATGCACTTTGTACAATTGCGCAGCAGTTATCAATCAACAACCTTGACTTTTGTTCAAATCCGTGGTCTCATTGATTGCAAAAGGATTGTCAAAAGGAAGTGAACGCGTCGAGTGTTTTGTTTATTAAACTGGCCTCTAGGAAATCTAGTGTAGATCTATTTTGATTATCAATGCATCTGTAATATCCTTTTCCCGATAGGAAATGACCCCTGCGATAATTGTCGCTTAGTACTCCCAAGATAAAATTTAGTGGTGTGTTGGTGTTTGAGAACTGATATGAATTGAAATGCAGAATAATCTCAAAATTAACTTTATAACAGATAATTATTACCAAAAATGTGAATGGTGGCTCAGTGGTACAATAGTGGTCGTGTATTAAATTGTTAGATCCCGGATTTGAACCAAACTGATGAGCTTGTAAACTTTGGCATGGCATTGATCCTCGATTACAAAGTCCTTCGGATAAGACTTTATATTGTAGGTTCTCTGGTTGCTATCTACAAGCATGTTTTTGCTAAAGATACATCAATATTCGCAAATGTCACTTTAAGACGTTATGAATTATTATAACGTTTTTTCCAGCATGACGATACAATTTCCAGATAGAGTTGAGACGGATTACGAGTAGTGTAGACAATGTATGCGTGATGGTTCAGTAGTAAAGCAGTAGTCTTGTAACCGGTGGATCCAGGGTTCGAACCATATCGATAAGCTAGTGAGCTTTGGTAGACCTTTGCTTTATATCCTGAATTACCAAGTCACTTAGTACGGAATACTAGCCAAATGTTCATTGTTGCTTTATCTACAAGCAGTTGCTTCCAACAGTCACGTAAACTAATCATCAATACAAACAAAATTTAAATGATTTAGTTTACTAACATATCCATCTGTACAATACGCAACAAAATATTGTTGAAAATGAACGTTGAAAATGCATGCAACAAGATGTCAAATACATAATGATCATTGAATATTATTTTTTTCAAACATTTGAATGAACAGGAAGTAATACATTCTACATCCATTAAGAATAACATGACACAGTAAATCGGTGTTGGAGAGCTGTTTCAGGCTTACAGAGTAGGGCATTTGAGAAGAAATAACATTATACAAAAATAAATCTTAAATTGTGTACCTAAAAAGATCTTATTGGTTAGAAATTATGGGAATTTCACACACATTTCTTCATGATATTTAAGAAAATATTGCTACAATTAAGGCCACGGCACCAAGCAAAACGCTTTGCTTTAAACGAGGACTATAGAAATGGCATTTTACTGGACGGACAAATTATGTTGTTGGTTTTTTATGTGCAGATATCAATTTCAGCGGTTTGTAACGGGAGGTTCCTGAATGCTAATATTCGAAAAAAAGGATTTAAGCTGGGTGAGACGACGCAAAACCACGAGCATGTCTGTTAATGGTAAATGGCACAAACTTAGAAAAATCGTGAAACATTATCATTGCATAATCCTTAAAGCCACACTGTCCTACTTGTAGCTACTTGCTCCCTCTATATAGAAAACTTCCCCAATCGGTGCCTGTTGGTCCCCCATGATCCTCTTTTTCTTTATATGTTAGTTGAGAGCTGAGTTAATGAGATAGCCACCTGTCAGTGACCTCGCTGTGTGGTCTAATCCCTTCTGGCCCAGTAGTACAAACGACGATGTTGTTTTGAAATCACATTGGTGACTAAGTCTATGTTTTCTTTCCTATTACGGTCTGTAGCAATAATCACCATCATCCTGTCCTTGCCATACCTTTTCGGGTGTGGCGTACTTCTCAAGGAATGGCAAGATACGAGGGTACACATCTTTGGAGGCATCCTTTCCCATGACGCAATCCAGGTGTCCATACTCAGGCACCTGGAACCACTCATAGTGCTGATCAGGGTTCGCTTCCTTGCATCTGACGTAGCTCTGCCTCGTTGCATCGATATCCCAACCTTTGTTCAACGATCCGACGTAATATAAAACGGGTATGTCCAGCTTTTTCATGGCCTTCCGATACTGTGGTGATTGGAGGCGGTTCTTCGAGTTGAAATCCGGTATGTAGATGTCGTTGCCCTTGAAGTCGGTTAACCGACCCTTCCGGAAGGTGACCGCGAGATGGTGATAGTACACGGCGTGTCCGAAGCCGAACCATTCGGTCAAGGTATTATGAGTTTTGTCATTCAGGTTGCGATGTTCCCACATGAGTCCAAACATTGAGGTTATCCTGTGGCACACGATATCACTGCACTGGTTCTTATCGTCGAGTGTAGATCGCGCAAGAGCATTGGCCATTACAGACATTATTTTTTCTCGCACGTGATCGTTTTTGTCTGTATACGCATTGAGCCCTGAGAATCCGAATGCAACAGCGACGCCATCAAGCCTGGTATTGGCTTTTGCATGGTTCATGGCTGATGAGATCATGCAGAATCCGGACTGTGACGCAACGAAGCATCGGATCCTCCTCTTGTCAATATGACCGCCAAACAAAGCGATGTGCATCGTGAGAGAGCCGATGCAATGTGCGTAGACCTGGAGGTCGGGCGACTCGGTTTCCTTCAGGATAAAGTCTACAACAGGTGGGAGGTCTTTCTCTGCAGAGTCTTGCATTTGAGTAGGCTTCCGATGTGAAGGAAGGGCTACCGAGAACCGAAGCTCTAGAACCCACATATCGTACCCATGCTCGCAGAAGAACTCTACGACACTCTTGTCTATGGTATCTAATGAGAAAATCCTGCTTGTGACACAGAGTCCATGAAGGAACAGGATTGGTCCCTTGTTACCACATTTGTAGCGAGTCATCACCAGAGGCACACCGTCTTTGGCCGTGATATGGTACACCTCAGGCTTGATGCCTTTCAGATTTAGAGGGCGCCTCTCACGCGCCGAAGATTTGGGACAGAACTGTGTAGGAGAGAACATATCGCAGGTATCGATGAGAACACCACCAAGAAAGAATCCCAACTTGGCCTTCCACTCCACCTCCAGTTTCTCGTCATCCCCCGGTCCTGTGATCTCAATGTCTGCAAGCTCTTTGGCAACATCCGCCAGTTTCGTGGAGACATCGCCAGTAGTTAAGGTCTCGGCTTTAAAATTGGGCCCTTTCTTGATGACAATACCCATTGAAGAGACGTCGGTTGCACTATTTCCGACAAACGTGTCCTCGTGGGCCACTCTAATGCCTTTAAAGAAGAAGTCCTTCTCTCCGAAAGGCAACAGCGTCTCGTAGACCATGCTTTTGAACTCCAAATTGGTTTGGCAGGAGCGTTGAACGTAGAACTTGCCACCCGAAAATGGGACCGGATCCTTGGATAACACTGCACAGTTGAGCTCACCGCTGATCGCAGCCTCATGACGAGGAGATTTCTCTATCATATGGATGACGTCATCTGTCTCAATGGTGACTGTGAGGTCGCATGGATGCTTGGAACCACCTTTATTCACGAACCCAGTCATGTGACTTGTGTAGCGCCCTCTGAGTTTAGTTCCCTCGTTGCCTTTTCCTGTTCAACAGACAACGACAAAAAATCAAGATTAGTCTAAAAGAAATAACAATAAAATCCTTTATAAAAGCGTGTAAAATTATATCCCATATTTGACAAATGATACCTTTCCTTTGTTAACAGAAATAAATAATTGGTACAAGTTAGAATTTCTTCGACTTTTGCGCCTATGATCAAAAATTTCATTGGGAAACTTAAAAGAGGGAGAAAAGCAACGGGGATGGTGATTATGACCAAAATACTTGAATGTGTTATGATTTTCTTCACACTTTTCAAAACATTTACAAATCCCCTATGTCCTCCCCTCCTCTTTCTCTCTCTCTCTTTCCTTCTGCCTAAATCTGATAATCTTTTGAATATCAACAAAGTTAAAAGAATCATGAGGCAGAAAGTGTCCCGAATTTTACAATAACTTCTCAATGATAAAGCCTCGGTGACGCTGTTATATTTTCTATGTTCAAAAGTGCCTATGAGATTAGTGTTGGATGACACAATGGCAAAAAGCATGGCATTCTTTCACTTGATACGTGCATGGTTTTAATTCTCTGCCTAAAAATCCTAGCGGGATTTCATGGGTATTATTACTTACTTATCCAGACAATGGCAGACGGGTTGGAAAGGGGAGAGGAAAGAGGTAGAGGTGCGAGGAGTGGAAAGGCAAAAATTAGAGCAAAATACCTTAACTTTAAAAGCGCAAAAGTTTATATATCGTTGCAAATTCCCTGCAGCTGGCAAACTGGAGCGAGCGTTTAGTGGACAATCTAACTTCTTTTCTTTTTTTTTTTTTTTAGGGGGGGGGGGGGGGGAGCTACAAACGGAATTGGGGTAGTGGATGTCGACTCTACCCTGGACAGGCCTGTGAGTCTAAAAATCATTTTCACACCAGTTTCAGAACTGTTTATAAAGTGAAAGAAGGAAAAACGAAACAAGAGAAAGAGAGAGAGAGAAAGATAAACGGAAAGAAGGTAACAATTAACGGGTAACATTATATTCTCTCGATCCTTCCCTCCACCTCTCTCTCTCTCTCTCTCTCTCTATCTCCCCCCCCCCCCCCCTCTCTGTCTCTCTCTCTTTCCTTTATGTATGATACGCAGACCATTGAATAAATGGTTCCAAAGTTCGACTTTAGACAGACGAGATGTATGCGATCAAGTGTGAAATCATAGAACCAGGTTGTGGAGGAAGGCAAACATGTTCCAGTACCATTCAAAACATGAGCTTGGATCGTGCTGTTTTTTTGTAAGGGAATGCAAAATTAACTCAAATAAGTTTAAGAGAGGCATATCCCCATAGGCGTTTTTGTGTTAAATCAGGGAGGTGAACTCACATGCCCTGGTTAAATCGTCCATTGTTCAAGTGAAAAGGGGGAAACAAAGTGGGGGGGGGGGGGGGGGGTAGTACTTTCTAACAAATGGCGTATAGGTCTATTCGCTATAGAGGTGCATGGGTGTATTGTGAAAAATTGTACCTCTGTAAAGGAAAGGAAATGGGCCTTGTGGTATGCTTATTATTAAAAAAAACGAGATATCTAAATATTCACTTGCAATTTCAAGTCCAAAGTTCCACGGGAGAAAAATTTGTTTGATAGTTTATGGGCCTACAAACAGGGGTAGAGGCATATCTTAACTCTACTCCTTTGCCGCATACGCCACCGAATCAATCAAAATTTCTCACCAATTCCTATGACCTTGTACTTGCTTGCGTCTTATCTTGAAATCCACTCTTTTTATCATCATTATTTACTCCCTCAAATATCATAATTCTACTCCCTAACTCTGAAAATTCGCACTCTTTTTCCTTTTGTTCTACACCCTATATAACCCGGTAACCTGCAGTTAAGGACCCTGGTACTGCATCATAACAAAATATCAGGAAAACCATTCTTTTTATTACCGCGAATAACGAAATGATATACGAGTACGATGGATAAAGGTTTTCGTAAATCGTATTAAATGTCGATACATTTTCAGTAAGAGATATGCCTGGTTTTGGCCTATGATGATAGAATCTTCCAATGCATTGTTTATTGTGTATAAAAGGTGTCATAACAAAATCGTAGCACAATCACACCTGCTTTAGTGACCACCCGTCTACAAAGACCACATTTTTGGTTTCCCTTGAAAATGGTTTCTCATTGAAACATGTACTAAAGGAACCTGTCTACAAAGACCATATTCTGTCTTCAGTTTCCCTTGGGCGGCCGCTATAGACTGTACAACCATAGGCCTATATATTCTGAATTCCGCGAATAGAGACATGGCATATACAGTACCTACGGTGAAAACAAAGTTTTCGTGTACGTCGATAGATTTTCACAAAGAAAAGCACTTGTTTTGACCTTTGGTTCATATAATCTTCTGATGCACTGTTGATCGGTGTCTAAAAGCTGCAATTCTCGAATAAAACCATAGAATGACATAGGTTCCGAGCAACAATAACACTTAGATGTGAATTCTTTTTATTCTCTTATGTGTGTCTAACGTACACTCTAATCGTTGCTACAATGGAGGAATACAATACACCGTTCCTTAATACCATGTAGGCTTATTTGGGTATAGAAAAGATCGTGCTCTTGATCAGGCGAGGCGGAAATAAATACCACTTTTTTTCCTTCAAAAACACAGTCGATATCTATATAAGGAAATCGTTGGAGCTTCTGAATAAAAACATACTATACCATACACCGTTGGTTGCCCACAGCGTTGCAATAAAATTTCTATTCATGACTTGATTGTGACAATGTGATTCGTTCTTGATAGATAAGGATTATATCTTCTCAAAGCTTTATTGATCAATCGAAACAGTTTGAGAAGATGTGAAAGCTATCTTTCAAGAATAAATCATATTGTCACGTCACAATCAATTCATGAAAAAAGTACTGGCAGGAAAATTTATTCAAATGTTTAATATGGGCCACCGTGTGTTTCATATAATCTGTGACTTTGTGATTTTCAACTCTGGTAAACTCTCCCAAGACCGAATATCTGATGTATGTTTCAAGTAATAACAATTGTCAAATACCATTTTTTTTAAATCACCTTTTTGTTAATATTGATAGTGTTGAATTCATTTCCTATGGTAATGCATATAGGCATTTTTTTAAAATATCAATTTACTTTGCTGTTATATAGACAGGCAATTCAAACTACTTCTTTGGTATAAAAAAAAAAGAATAGATGCACGGATTCTCTGAACAATAACAAACTTGCCTATTTCCTTGTATGTTTCCTGAAATTTTCCCTTCTAAAAATAAACGTAAGTTTAAGCAGAACTTGACCTGTAATACGAGGAACTTTAACAACATAAGTCACAACCCAGTAACGAATGTTTCGTAGAAACCAAACAAACAAAAAGGATCAAAATTACATGTCGAGGGAACAAAGTATTTCCTTGTTTGATATCAGACTGTATCTTTCATTATCTGATAATATGCAACCATAATCAATAGTTTGGAGATTATCTTGCTTTTAAATAATCTAACATAAAACAACTAGTTCACTAATTAATACTACATGCAGGGACATGTATCATGTTTCATATTCCAAAACACAACCAGTTCCATCAGAAAATGTCACAATCAAGGATGTTAAGAACACTTGTGATGAATAATCTATTCATATATTTAAGCAGAAAGCGTGATGTGAAATCTGAACTATTAAACGTAACTTTCCGTTTCGGAAAGTTTTGAACATATATCATTGATGCATATATTCTGTTCCTGTTTTACTTATGTCATATAATCAATTTCCGCATTTGTTTTCGCTCAATTAACACCGATCTCCTTATAAATTTACATTTTGGAATGCATAATTTCAGTAAAAAATAGCCCACTGAGGCATAAATTATTCAATACAGAGGCACTCCTTCATATACATAAAAGGAAATGTAATCTGCTCCGATCAGAATATTAGACAGCACTAAAGGCAGTCCATATAAGGATTCGTCCGGCTAGAAATCCTTAAATGGTCAGACAGTTTATCATGCTATACCATGTAAAAGTCATTTGAAAAAAAAAGTCATACATGTAGCACAAGGAAATTGAACCGAAATCTCCGCTTTTTGTTAACATTGTAAGAGCGGCAGAAAGAAAGACAATAACAATAACCTAATGCAAGGACAGGGTGCCAATTAATTACGATTTGGTTGGCAATAAATGCGATTAACGGAGCGGGGGTCTATATAAATATGAGGCGTAGCTACAGGGAACACTGGGGAAAAGTGCCCCTCCTTAAATGGTAAAACAACAAGATGACTAGAAAAACGAGAGAAAACAGGGGGAAAACGGGGTTGCGAAAAAGACTCCTCATACACCCTCCCGGTAATCAATGACCTTGTTTGATTAATTTATGACCTTCTTAATTGTATTTATCCACCTAGTATTAATACCTCATTCACAAACCGACAGAATATTTAAACAATTCCATACCAACCACCTCTTGGTAATTCGGTGTAATGTACATATTTTGTGTCCGGTCTGCAGTCGGTCTTTGGTCGGTCTTGAGTAGGCCTAATCGGTGTGACTGCGGGGAGGGGGAGGGTAGGGGTAAGACCGATTTCCCTCCACTCGGATATCTGTTCCACACTCAATGGCTGGACCTAATTAGCTACGCCACTGAAGATTATCACCAGTGATATTAATAATGATGTTGGGATAGCCTATAGCTAGCCTACGGAAATCCAGTTGAAAACGGATCTATTTCTATCTTTTACAATATTTCCACAATGGTAACTGTAAACTTACAAAAGGATTCCGAGAATCGGGATAACGGATACAATTATCATAATATTCGTCATAACGGTCCCCCCGAATAAAAATAGAAATGACCATTGATATGATATCCGTAATGATCGTCATCAATACGGTCTATTGAGTATATCAAATTTACGTATTATTTATTATGAGAATCGTTTCTTAAAATATCTTAACTATAGATAACTCAATGACTACAATGAGGAATATGATATGTGGCCCGGGCCCCGCCTTATAAAGAATTACGATAGATCCAAATCAATCGTAAGTCCTCCAATAAATCGCAAGTTTGCAGTCTCCTATCTCTTATGTACATAAGAGATAGGAGACTTTATAAGACAAGGCCCTGGAAACGTATATACACTGAAAAAGGTATATGCACTATCATTTGACAGCTTTACCCCCACAAAGTGATTAATGATTCGCACAAATCTAACTTGACTGCACATGGGTCAAGAGCAGCTGAACATGAGATGAAACAATGCAATTGTAACCCAAGACACTGCACTGCATAATGTATATGTTCCATGATTTGCAAAGACACACATCCTAAACAATATAATTCACTTCTATTTCAAGGATTCCTTATAAGACCGTCTGAATAGACCGGTATATTAACATATTCAAATTTCTTTGCTGGGGACCTAGTGATTAGGTATTTCATTAACCCGTTACATGTATTAATCAATGAACTACAATAGTTGGATATTAGTCTGCATACATTACTTGTTGCTACGTCGGGCAAGCATGAGGCAAACATACGGGGTTCTGAAGAGCAACTTAAACAGTGTGCATAAAATGTGAATATGTTAGTGAACCAGACTTTGAAAAGAATTTTGCTGCAACGCCTTCGTTTGATTAGAAAACAAATGTGAGTCTATTGTCCCATGAACTTTGCCCGATATACTTATTGATTATTTAGAATATCTGGGTCATCAGCAATTAGTCATTATTTCACAATGAACTTCCAAGAGTTCTTGCCCTATATTATACATGTTATAGATCTGTTACAAAACTTGGTGCAATGATTTTCTATCTAACAACTTGTGGTATAGAGTGCGTTTATCATCACCAAAAATCAAGCGAACAGATAATTTTCCATTTTAAAGGTCCATAAACATGAACGCCTAGGCATTTAACATGTTTGTTCTGTACGGGGGTTGATTGCTCTTAAAATTGATAAATGCTGTGATGTGTCCGTTCCTAGTGTTACGTGGAATGGTAGTAGCAAACAGTAAGGTATCCAGTATACATTCTTGAAACGATGTACTTCCCTCGTTTGAAGTCACATGATTAAAAAAATCAAAAGAAAATGAAAATTTAGCGGACCTATATTATTGTGTTATTCCAAGTATTTCAACTGCAGTTTAATGCCTTTATACCCTAAATGTGAAATAAAGAAAATTTTGTTAAAAGGTTTTCTTAAGAAGCAAATGCTCTCTTTCTTTTTTTTTCAAATGCGCAAAATAATGTTCACATAATGAAAATCAAAGTTATTCTAGAAACCATCGAAAAATATCAACTGGATAAGTGAAGTAATATTACAGGTGGTGGATAAAGTTACTGTGCAGATCTTCTCTCTTGTACAATGTGATAGTATATGAGGTCATGAGTATTCAGATAATAGTGAAAGAAGACCAGAAGATTTGGCCAAACCACAACTTGGGTTATTATTGACTACTTTGCCTGTCACAATGCTGTGCGTTCTTTAATTCTATCCCGTATTGATTATTGTAATGGGCTTCTTTCCACGATTCCCTCGACTAAATTGGATCGTGTGCAACGGCTACTAAATTGGGCAGCCCGATTGATATTTCAGGTTTCTAGGGACCATCCATATCAGTCACCCTTGAGCTTATTACAGTGGCTTCCATTGAAGCAAAGAATAGTTTTGAAGCTACTCTTGTTTGTCTACAAAATACTCAATAATCAAGTTCCACAATATGAAATACCTGTTTGTATTCATATACACCTACCAGGGCATTGAGGTCAGCCAGTGACCCTCTTCGTCTCACACACTCACTTACTCACACATTAGCCGATGAAAGGACATTTACTGTATCTGCTTCAAAATACTGGAATGATCTACCACTTAGAATTATACAGTCTTTATCAGTTATTACCTTCAGAAATACCTTGAAAACACGTCTGTTTTGCAATTTGTAGTTGTAAGATTGTATTTCTAATTACATGTATTTATGTAATTGTAAGCGCTTTGGGCCTTATTAGGAAAGCGCGGTATAAGTAATAATAATGATTAAAGGGTTATCTAAATTGTCAATCACGTCTAGCTTAGTTTTCCCTCTATCCGCCCCCTCTTCTCTCTCTCTCTCTCTCTCTGGCTCTCTCTGTCTGTCTGTCTGTCTATGTCTCTGTGTCTCTCTCCCTCTGTCGTCTCTATTTATTTTTTGTCATGTTGAATGGGTGTCGTGGTCTGTCATGAGGGTGTTATGTTCTAGTGGATAAGATAGCGAACTGATGACCACACGGTTCGGGGTTCAAGTCTCTGCCACCTTCTACAACGCCCTTTGACAAAACATTAATCAATATCTGCCACTCTCGACACTGTTGTAGTACGGAGTATTCATCAACGTGCTCAGTCAAAGTGGGCTAGAACACAATCTGTTGCCTAAGTCACAGCCGACTAAACATAATGTAAAGCTCTTTTATAACGCACAGTGACGTTAAGTTATGATTACTATGACAAGAAGAGAACAATATTGTCGAAGCTTCGATCGACCAAGCTTAAACGTTCTGTTCATTTACACACCTCATATGAACACATTCATGCCAAATAGACCTGTACTTTAGACTTTAACTTGCATTTACCAAATCGAAAACAAATCCGTAATAAATTATAACGTGATAATGTACTATGCCTAATGGAAGAGTATTGTATATCTAAGTTTCATGCATAACAAAGTAGGTTCCTTCCCATAAATACGACTTGAATTTCTTAGACATAAATGCTTGAATGCATACAAAGTTGAACCGCATACTGAACTTGAATTTGCGGTTACTTTTAAAGCGACAAATCAAACTAATGCGCTATACAATAATGTAATATTATCGTATACGTCTACCGGGAAAATGCTTCCTCCCATGCATGTATGAGTATGACGTAATGATATAGTCAGATAATTATCAACAGATTAATATCTGGTACGTATGGCCTAAAATCGATTTCCATCGATACTCGTACTCGAGGAAACAGACAACAATGCCAGGTTTAACTGTAAGCCTGCATGTTGAACTTGAACTCGCGGTTGACACAAATCAAGAAAGGGATCCAAAATATTTCTTACCATCGGGCTCGTCTCTGCTGCCATGATTTCCCATTATAACAACTCTCAATCCGTCTTGATGATGAAACGTATGAGTGATAGCTTGATGATGATAAAAAAACGTGTATCCAGAAACGGTGTTATGTTGATGATAACTCTAAGCGATAATGATATTGATTGAGCAGATTCCGAGTCTATATAGCTGCCCGTTGCATTGGCTCGGAAATGTTAGGCGGCCGGATCCGGAAGACTGCACTGCAAGTACCGCGTTGGTGTTTCACCGGACTAGTTTTTGTGTGCTCACTTACACGGCTTCGATGTTGGTGTGCTACTATCTGAATCTGCTTGGTCCCATACTATACTTTATACGTCATGCATGTATTTATAACAAGATTGGGAGTGGAACCCGGACACAAAGCCAGAAATGAAGGATTTACCTTCACTGAACATAAGCAGTGGACCTACATTTTTCTTGCTATAACAACATGAGGTCTTTTTCTCTCGCTCTCCCTCCAGTTCTCACTCTCTCTCTCACTCTCTGAAAAGAGTCATTCGGCAATAAATTGCGATGTATTGTTCATGAACAAAAGATAATAGATGACGTACATAGCGTCAGCTGGATCTTCACTATATAGCTTCACCCGGATTTTATTATAAACAATTTGTTTTTAAATACAACTCGAGTGAGCGTGTGTACGTTGAGAGAGAAAGGGCGGAGCGAAGAGAGGTGGGAGGGGGGGGGGGGGGGGGTTACACAGGGATATACCGATCTAGGGGTGACAAGTATAGCCCCGACATGTTTTTGAGGGGGAAATTTAGCTTTGAAATGTGAAATGTGAATTAGATTTTTTTTTTTTTAACGTAAAGGTCAAACGTTCTGCAGGACTATCGTAATGAGTACAGTATCCGGAAGGATAAGGTTTCCGGAAGATCCATCCACCAGACCGATGTCCGAATTATATTTAGTCCACTGTCGTAAAGCTTCCACTAAAAGATGTGGCGTCATGACAGAGGTGTTGAAATAGCACCCCCGAATAATATAGAACCGACCCAAAAATAAAAGTTTGGGAAAACACCTTTTTGATTCCCAAAAAGAAATGACTAATTCAAATCATTGTTATAGAGGTGAGTAGATAAAACACAGCATAGCATTGGAGTGGAGAATCCGAACGACCCACGCACAATGAATAAATAAAAGAAAATAGATAAGTTAGGTCGATGTTCTTTCCCTCTTAGATTATATATATATATGCATCAAAAAGGTTCAGATCATTTTGCCAGTTTACACTAGTCCACAATGTAATAGACTCAATGGTATGGATCTATATAATAAGACGAATAGACTTAAAGAGAAGGTTGAGTTCTGGGAAGAGGTGAAAAGTAATTTGTGATCGTTATCATTGCATTATACAAATCCACAAGGCCTAGCTATATGTATGGACTGTAGGACGTGATGTTACTTCATTGTACGTGTGTCACAAATAAACCACTTCTGGCCATATACATGAAACCAAATCCGATATCCTCTGTTATTTACTTTAGGGCAACACTTTGTTTATATTAATGAGTGGACTATACTTGAATAACCATGTTCTTGCAAGTTTACTACCCCAACACCATCGTATACAGAATTAGAGCAGACAACAATTCTTATGTTGAACTGTAATAGAAATAACATTCACATTTTAAGCCAAGTATTGGCTATTAATTACTCTAAATAGCGCATATGCCTATTTAGTATCAGGCTAGATGTCTGCGGCTAAACCATGATTTCAGGGGCGGGTCCAAGGAGGGGGGGGGGGCAGGGCGGCACGGGGGACCGGGCTCCCACCCCTGGCAAAAAAATAAAGATGGTAACCACAATTTTACCTCTTTGTTTTTTGCTCAAGGGGGGGGGGGGTGTAAAAAAAAAGATAGTGCTCACTACACCCCTCCCCCTCCCCGTCGAGCCAAAATATTTTATTTGTTTAGTGCTCATTACACCCCCCCCCCCCACACACACACCTTTTTTCTCACGAATTGGGCCCTCTCCCTCGTCGCCGACTGGATCCGCCCCTGCAAATGCGGCCGTCAAGATCTCACTTCCCAAGCATGCCAAGTATTTTCTATAGCCATTCTAGCCATTGTTATTTTTTTGGAAAGCGTGAGCAAATAGTCTAAATTTAGATATCTGTTCACTAAACTCAACCAACCAAGGCAGAGTCGATTCTAGACTGTAACTGCGAGTACACATATTCGGCTGCGTCTGGTGTTTATCGTGATTTCTAGTAATGGCATTTGATACAAGTAAAGGAGGAGTGAACGAGACTTATCCGCTTTGAATAAATAAACAATGCATATTTGGTTAACTGTGTAAAGAATTAGGAGTTTGACTCTTTGGTATCAAGCGAGACTTATAAAGCACTTCCAACAGTCTGGGAATCGTTATGCCATGAACAGTACATGAATATATGATGACGTCATGGTGGTGATAGGGCAATAGTCACTGGTGTACTGATGGGGAGGGGGGGGGGGGGGGACTCGGGGGCATATTTTGGTTCTCATTCGATACCAGTGAGTAACAAATAGTGCTGAAACGCCCTAATTTTTCGGAATTTTGTTCTCTCAATATTTTGTAACTTATACTTTTTTATGCGTTTGTTGGAACATGACACATTCCCAAATGTACAGTCAGGCAAAAAATGTATTTACTTAGAAGCATAAGTTTCAGAGCCCGCGAGAAGAGCCCCCCCCCCCCCCTCCTCCCCACTTTTTTTAAAAAGAAGAATGTTACAGGGAAATAGAAAGACAGAAAGAATAGTGACATGCCAGTGTCACAAATCTGTTATGCTCACCTGACCGTAATTAAATGTGTAAAACCCCAGAGCTCCTGGGGTCTCCATCCCCTGGACTCCACCAAGGACCCTAAGGCGGGCCCCTAGATGCTCATCTGACCGTAATATCACAGGACCCCATGCACGCTACACTCTATCTGATTGTTAATACTTTAGCCCCTCCCCCCCCCCCCCCCCCCCTACACACACACATTTTGAAAAAACGTTCCGCGGGGCCTGCATGTAACATATAAGAGTCGGGTGGTGTTGCGATTTTTTTTCTGCCCCCCCCCCCCCCCGCCAAAAAAAAAAAAAAAAAAAAAAAAAAAAAATATATATATATATATATATATATATATATATATATATATATATATATTTGCTCATTACGCCACTGATGATAGTAGTGGTGGTAGTGGCGGCAAACTAAGTCCTAGAGGTGATGTGTCTACATGGGACGCACGGTGAAATGCACAATGCTACCCTCCCCGAGTGGTGAGTAAAACAAAATGAAAAAGAAAGGAAATGCAAGAAAAAAGGGCAGGCTCATGCTCAGAGAAAAAAGGTCCCCGTTCCTCGGACAGAACGTTAATTGGAGGCCACGTATATACGTTAACTCTCCACACTTCTAGCAAAAAATAGAGTGTGGACCAAGTGCACATAACTGCATACAAAACTGCATACATATTTCGTCCCATTTCCAAATCGTTCCACCCCCCCCCCCCCCCTTCTTGATGGGTGAGCTCACGCTTCGCCTCTGAGTTCAAACCACAAATCATTGACATTTCTTCCAAGTGTAGGCCAAACACATGACCACAAATCATTTTCCTGATTATGCAGAAAGTAAATGAAGTACTGAGCTGTCTCGACTTCGGCCCTGAGGTAGAGAACATTTACATCCTTTTCGAATAATCGCTACTCAAGAGACAAACTATTTGTGTCCTTCTGCAAAAGGTTAAGATTACCCCGAAAAGGATGTAGATCTCGAATTATGTTTCTATAGGAAGTACTTCAAGTATATGATTTAGGAGTTTGTAGATATTTCTTCACCGGCTTTATCTAGTGTTAGCGGAAATGCGGTGAGCGTGACTGCAGTAAATTATGCTAATGTTAGAATCAGTTAACATTACAGTAAAGATTTAAAATGTCAAACCATGTCATTATTCTAAGAAAGCAAACAACTGCCCACGTGCTAACCTTTATTAAGTATAAACACGAGTTATAAAAGTGTTTTAAAAACTCTTGTCATTCGATAAAGAAAATAAGAAAACCCACGTTCTTTTATTCTAAAACGTGTATCACTTAAAACACGAATCGTCAAAATCATGTACTGTATGTTTGACTACCCCATATTGATGCACACTTTTGTGTCTTTAGCCGCATGCAAAAAACTGTACAAAAAAGAAGACTTTTAGGAGTTCATTTGTACATTAAAGATGAATATTACACTTATTATTGTTTGAATATTTTGGTACAGGATTCGAATATCATAGCTATTTTTGTCAATTATTTAAAATGACAATTATTATGATATCACTTTTTCGTTTTCCTTTCCTCGATGACCTTTAAAATTGTAAAAGTATATGACGAGAAATGTGATTTATTATCATCACTGTATGTTTTTCCCGAAGAGGCACACAGCATGTGGTAGTGCGTAAATATGATTTGCTTTTCCTGTTGATAGTAAATTTCATATTTGAACTCAATTTTCTTTGTTAAACTATGATTTTTATTTGTGTTATCCTTTGTCAAAAGGACATTAAGAACAATCTAATCAATGAATTTAGATTCACTGAAACTCAAATTGACTTCACCAGTGGACACAAAGTGTAATTTTAGTAATAAATTGGATATTCGAGAAGAATAAGTATTATTTATTGTCCATATTTTCAGGAATCTCTCTTCCTCTCCCAAACATGGTACGACAATGACAGGAAACAACAAAAACATGCACATGATTATGTGTGTGGTAACACTAAAGATCAGCGTATACACATAAACAAAGACAGAAAAGGTGAATTTTACAGTAATTCATTACATGATATTTCATTTAGCATGTTGACATAATACAACTTCGGCCATATCATCATTTTCGATTCATTTCGTCAAAATCGGTTATGACCGAATTAGCACTTTGATTATTTTCAGTTAAATTCTAATTCGTTATCCAATATTACTGCTGTTGAGAGACAAGAGCGCTATACAATGCGTCCCCGAAAAAACGAAACCGAGAATTATCGATGTTTTATCATAACTTAATCACATTTATAATTAATAAATGACACACATTTGTAAAGCTTATATCCTCCTCTTTCATTTGATGCAACTCATATGATGCATATTTCACGCATGTGTGATGAGAAACAATTTGAAGAGAGGGTACTAAAAATTCATTTGGAGGGCGGTATCTTATTTTCAAAAAGAAAAATCGCATTTCTAAAAAGTTCATTTTTTGGCCTTTCATATGACACCTCAATCAGGGCAAATGAGCAACAACAAAAAAAAGGGGGGGGGGTAGAACTAAGGGTGATTGTTGTTGTTGTTGTTCTTGGGTTTTAGGCTGACCAATCTAAAAAGATTATTTCTGCCTGTCAAGGGGTTATTATATAGCCCCGACATGTTTTTGAGGGGGAGGGAAGTCCTATCGATGCCGTTACTATTTAACATTAGTGAAATGTAAATTTGATTTTTTTTTTTTTTT